CCTGACCTCCCTGAGTAAGAACCATCTCGACTCGTCTGGCGACATTAGTAGCCGCCTGAAAAGAAATCTCACTTCCAGTCTCCTTAGCCATCTGCAATCTGATAGGCTGAGCAAGTCCATCAATAAACCTCATTACCCCCTCTCTCTCGGTGGGACGTAGAAGAATAGCATGACGGGCTAAATCCACAATATGGGTCTTATACTGAGTAACCGTCATACCGCCTTGCTGGAGAAGCTCAAACTGACGGCGACGCTCCTCTCTTAATGTGATAGGCAGAAACTTCTCTATGAAAAGCTGAGAGAACTGGTCCCAAGTAAGAGCAGGTGACCCAGCTGGTCTGGTCAACAAGTAATCTCTCCACCATTTCTTGGCGGAACCAGTCATCTGAAATGTAGCAAAATCGACCCCATTGGTTTCCGCTATACCCATGTTCCGTAGAACCTCGTGACAACTGTCAAGATACTCCTGGGGGTCCTTTGAAGGAGCACCACTGAAGTGAACAGGAAAGATCTTGGTAAACCTGTCCAATCTCCATAAAGCCTCAGAAGACATGGCTAGCCCATTTCCGACATGTGCCGCAATAATCGGCTGAACCAATCCGACTAGGCTGAGCTGCTTGAGCCTGATACTGGGGAGCTATCTGCTCCGGAGCGAGAGTGGTAAGAGTCTGGGCTCCTCCGCGAGCCTAAGAGACTGCTGGTGCCATGGGAAATGCACCAGTATGGGCCACACTCTCCATAAAGCCCACCAAACGGACCAAAGCGTCCTGAAGTACTGGGGTGGCAATGAACCCCCCGGAACCTAAGCTGGTCCGACAGGAACAATCTGGGCTGGAACCTCCTCGTCAATCTCTATCTGAGGCTCCACTACTGGGGCTACTGCTCGGGCCCTAGGCTGAGCCCTGCTTCTGCTGCCTCTGGCACGGCCTCGGTCTCGACCACTGCCTCGCATATGAGCTATCACTGGAGGCTCTGGCTGCTGCTCGGCTGAGGAAGTGGTACGTATTCTCGCCATCTGCGAGAGCATAAGAGTAGAAGAGTTCAATCAGTATTGAGAAAGCAAAATTGCACGACAGAGAAGAATAGAGGTGAAACTTGTTCCTAAACTTCATAGCCTCTGGAAGATAAGCACAGACGTCTCTGTACCGATCCTCCAGACTCTACTAAGCTTGCTCGTGAATCGTGAGGCCTAGGAAACCTAGTGCTCTGATACTAACTGTCACGACCCGAAATTTTCCACCGACGGGATTGTGATGGCGCCTAACATTTCACTTGCCAGGCAAGCCAACGTTAGAGTATCATTAAACTATTTTCTTATTTTGATTCAGTAAATATCAATAATTAACTCAAATGAAATATAATAAGTGCGAAATATCATAAAACGATATTAATTACTACTACCCGGATCTGGAGTCACAATTCACGAACATTCTAGAATTTACTACAAGTAATAGTCTGAAAGAAATACAACGTCTGAATGAAAGAAAACAGTAAGACATAAAAGATAGACGGAGACTTCAAGGTCTGTGAACGCCGACAGATCTACCTTGAGTCTCCGGACAGCGGACCAATAGCAAATCTCGATCAACCTGAGCCGGTATCAAAATCTGCACAGAAAGTACAGAGTGCAGCATCAGTACAACCGACCCCATGTACTGGTAAGTATCGAGCCTAACCTCGACGGAGTAGTGACGAGGCTAAGACAAGGCACCTACGATCAACCTGTACAATTTAACAGTGTATACACAAATAACAGGAATGAAGAACTAAACAGGAAATGTCGGGAGGGGAGACATAATGAGGGAAATACAAGATAAAGAACTACAACAGAATGATCACCAGAGCAGTCAATATACCATGAGTCAATAGGAATAGTGAATATAGTAAAGAAAAATGCACGGCATCACCCTTCGTGCTTTTATTCTCAATCTCACCATAAAATTAATATAAATGGCACGGCATCACCCTTCGTGCTTTTACTCTCATATCATGGCACGACATCACCCTTCGTGCATTAACACTCACAATATGGCACGGCATCACCCTTCGTGCTTTAACACT